TCGTAGTCGCGGAGTGCTTGTGCGCTTTCATGCAGCTCCGCGGACTCGACTTTTCGATCCATCCAAAGCTACACTCCCATCCGATGTTCCGCTGCAGGCATTGACTGGTCGCAGGCGAACGTTGGTCATGTTCCAACAACCCATCGCTGGAGCTCCGATGCCACCAAACAAGATCGAAGATCGTTGGGACGAAGCACCCTCAGCAAGAACTTTAGCTCATCGCTGGAAAGGGCGCACAGAGTTGGAGCTGCAGCCTGAAACGTGATGTGAGTCCGTTGTGAGGGCCCGGTCCGTTTTTAGAAGTGCTGCTTGGAGATAATCCGTTATGCAGTGCAGTACAGAGGACTTGAAAGCTACAACGTTTTCCATTCTTGAACAATGGCCTTGAGTCTACAAATTTTCGTTCAGAATCCGAAAGCAGTTAGTAGGAGGGACTCTTTGAAGTCTCCGCGCTGGAGGTGCGGAGAGGGGGAGTGTGAAGGCACCCTCTGTCCTTCCCTACAATGCACAAAGGATGACACGCACAAATCAGGAAGTGCGAGATCGATGGAGGCCATTTCTTGCTTGAGATTAGAAAAGAGGGTTTTTAGAAAGGCTCATAGGGGTTTAGGGGTTTAGGGTTTAGCGGTTTAGGGTTTAGGGGTTTAGGGCTTTTAGGGTTTAGGGTTTCAGCACTCACATAGGGTTTAGGGTTTAGGGGTTTAGGGTTTTAGGGGTTAGGGGTTTAGGGGTTTAGGGTTTGAGTTTCTTGGCGGCCCAGGAGCGAGCCCGTTTGGCTCCCCGTCATCGTCAACCTACGATCTAGGAATCCAGGGTTGGAAGGTTAAGCCCGAAGACCCTAAACCCTAAACCCTAAAGCCTGAACCCTGAACCCTAAACCCAGACCCTAAACCCTAAAGCCCTGAAGCTCTAAACCCTAGAGAGTCCTAAGCCGTGAGCCCTGAACTGGGGAGCAAGAGGGAGCGGTCTTGGATTTGATGACTGCGGGACTTCTGGCATTTCTGGTGAAGGGAGTGCTTCTATTCTCAAGAGGAGACCTAATTAGTCCTAAGTAGTGCAATAATAAACCAAGACGAGTATCATTTCAACAAAACAGTTCGCTTCTGTCCTACCTTATTCCCAGATATTATGCCTAGTATGGGTACTCGATGGATAATTTGTTAGAACAAACATTTCCATTTTGTCGGGTTCCGGGTTTCGCGTTGGATGTTATAGTTATGGTTTTTCTATGTGTTCAGGTTATCTAGGCTGGGCGGCGAGGTTGAGTTTCTGTTGTGTCGATGGCGGGTCTCTTAAGGTGGCTCCTGTGGCTAAGTTTCTGCTGGGTCTATGGTCCGGGTTTCTTAGGGTGGGTCGTGTGGTTGAGTTTCTGCTGGGTCTATGGTGGGCTTCTGTGCAGGGCCTGGGTTTGGGTCAGTGATATGGCCTAGTGGGGTGGTTGAATTCCTGGTGGGTCTAATGTGGGCTTTTGTCGAGGCTATGACATGGCCTAGGGCCTGGGGGGTGCGCAAAGGGAAGGTGGAAATGACTATCGCTAACTTACCAAGAGGGCTTATATGTACTACTGTCATGGAATTAGGGATGGTCTTCTGGGACGTAGCTCCATATATATGGACCCTCTGGAATATCCGCACAGAGCCATGAATCGAGCGGCTCCATGGGGACTGGCTGCTTTTGATGTACTGATCTGTGTCTCGAATGGCTGGTTTTGATGTGCTGTCATGCCAAAGTTGTGCGTCTCGAGTGGGCGCTTGTGGAATCGAGCGTCTAGATTGGGAATGGCTGGTCTTGATGTGGTGTGCTGCCACTGATGTCATTGACTTATGAGCCTGAAAATTACCAATGTGGCAGCCTGTTTTAGTCTGATCTCTGCCTCGCGCCGCCGTAGGACTCCCAGGCCCTGCCAGTGATACCGAGGTAACCCCTCAGAGCTCCCGGCCTCAATCCATGAACACCATTACAACTGCGACTCTGAAGAAAGAGGGACCTTAAGAATGAGGTTTGGGGTATATTGTGCTACAAAATTTGAATAAAGGGCCCACCCCAAAAATAGGATTCGTAATTCTGCCTAGGCACCAAATTCACTCTCTATGGGCATGAGTCGTGTTTGGGATTCTGCAGCTGTAGACTTTGACAGCTGGCAGCCAGACAAAGAATACATAATGTAGTGCATAACAGATAACACATAGTGACATAGTGTGTACATATATATATGTATATATATATACACGGTAGTATATTGTATATAGGACAAAATAAACAGTATATGATAAGAGGTCCACAAGCATTCTAGGGTAGTGGGAGCAAGCCGCTCGCAGCCACCTAGGAACCTCCTATGGCCATGCTATATGGCCTAAAGCCTCAAAGGCGAGCCTTCGTAGCATTGATGATTCTCCGTATCGGCTCTCCAGTCAGTCCTCTTGCCTTGGCCCAGCCAGCAGGTGGCAGCAGAGGCGCCGTGCACCGCCATTGCCAAGATTCCTGCGCACAGGTTTGGCCGGCTGGATTGAGGTTTCGGATCCAGATCTAAAAATATCCACAACTACACGACAAGCCAAAAAGATACAGCTGCAAGAACTCTATGCACTCTCCAGAGAGGGGTCCTCGTACGTCAGGGTTGAGCTGCTACAAACCCTGAACTGCTAAGCTGCTCCTCCCTAAACCCTAAACTCCTATAAACCCTAAAAGCAAGTCCAAGCTTACATCCTAAGGATGCCTCAGCCGACTGGTTTGCATCCGTTCTGTAGACATTCAACCCCCAAGTCCCGAATGACAGCTTCTCACCTTGGGGCCTGAATCATCGGCCATGCTGGTGCCATGCTCTCCAAAACAAGAAACATATGAATTATGTAGCGACCCACCCCAGTCCTGTTTTTGATTGTTAAGGCCCCTATGAGAACGACGCGACTCGCCAATCTAAGACTGTGACAACCTGCAGTGCGAGATCGGACTGCTTGCTCTTTCAGTCGTCTAAATGAAGCAGTCTTGAAACACACTACAATGCAGGCATGTAATGATTGGACTAAGGTGTTGGGGTGTTGTCATCCTTCAGTCATCATGGAATAGTTTTTACATGCTGTTTCGAAACTCTATCTTATGATGACCACATCCAGCCACGGGTATTCGAAACAGGAAAGATTCATGTTATTGTTGTCGATCTGCTTTTAGATCCGACAGAGGGATACGGTTTGGATGCTGCCAGAGCTAGGGATACACTTTTCGATGCACATTCCAACGCGATTTGGATGCATGCCACAACTAGGCATACAATTTTCGATACACAATCCAATGTGATATAGATGCATGCCACAGCTAGGGATAGACGTTGCGATACATATTCAATCACGATTAGCATTGCACTCAGTGGTCTGCGGAAAACGCCTTATCACCCGCAGAATGACTAGTGAAATCGCATCGGGAATCGTATCACCCCCTTACAATTAAAGCGAAACTAGGGTCCGAGCCGAGACGGTTGTCGATACGATTTGGGGTGCCGCCAAGGGCCCCAAACCGGGCCGTTTGCCGACACGATCTCCTTCATGGGGCAGTCGGGGATTTCCCACTGGAGCCATACGATCTTCGATGCGATCCGGCGGGCGGCTCGCTGGCACGATGCACTTCCCCACCCCAGCCCCAATCCGGCCCCAGCGCCAGGAGAAGCAGAACAAAATCTTGGGAAAGAAGCTTGGGGAGGCTTTCAACTCTCCAACCCTTTCATAAAAAGTAGTTGTGACTAAAGTATTGTTGCAACTAACGCGAGATGGGCCGAACCTACTGTCCGAACGTCCTTCGATCCGCGCATGCGGCGTTGCTAGGTCGCGACGTTTAAGAAGTGCATGACGATCCGCATACAAACGTATATCGTACCTGTGCACCACCCCCAAAAGTGCAGCGTGAACCGTATTGAAAAGTGTATCATACCTGTGGGCCACTGGTACCCGCAACCATATTCTAGACCACAAAGGAAATTATTTTGGACACTGTCTTCCTGTAGCTAGTGAGGATGTCTCACCTCAATATTACGTTTGTTGTCCAAGAGTCAAAACAAGCTAAACTTTCCACTGCATGGTCCTCGCTTCGCAGCCAGGAGACGGGTAAAGGCATCTCCTTGCGGTATCGGCAGCGCACCAGCCCGGTTTGGGTTTAGGGTCTATAGGGTTTTTTCCCTCTCGGGCTCTTAACTGGTTCGCCCCAGCAGTGATCCCCTACCGATAGCTACAATTGAGCTGCAAACCATCCACAGCTCCAAGGAAAGCACTCGAAAGCTTATTCGCAAAAAAAGTGGCCAGAGCAATAATGTACATGAGTATACATCGTGCAGAATAGGATTTTTGGTGACTACAAAGAGTATATTCTCACTCATTGCTCAGACCCCTCTATCCACAAGACTCAAGGGTCATCCGCACCACCAAGGAAGTGCGCACCCAGCTCTTGCAAGCTCCGGTGGAGGGAGGAAGTGCCAGCGTTGGGAGGGCCGATCTTGGTGTGCGTTGGGGTGACTTGGGCTTTAAGCACCTTGGGGTTTTGGATTCGAGGGTTTATAGGGGTTACTGTAAGGTTTGGGCTTCGGGGCTTTATGGGGCTTCCAGGTTCTAAGACTTAGAGGGCTTAAAGTGGGCTTTAAGGGTTCCGGGTTTTCATTTAGGGTTCAGGGTAATGTAGGGACCTTCATAATTAGAATAGGGTTTGGGACCTATATTATACTATATATACTTATAACCAGGACCCCCCCCCCCTCCACCAAAAAAAAACAAAGAAAAAAAAATCTTGGTACTTATTTAGGCCCCAAGATGAGGATTTATTGAAATGCACCATGCTGTCCAAGTCAGGATCCCTGGCTCGCAAGGGGGGAAGAGTTTGCAAGAGCAGTTGGGCAGTTCTCTAAATTGGGGTCCTTTTTTGGGGGGGTCCTTTTTATAAGGGTGCCGTACCATATTGGGGACCTAACAAGGGCCCTAATTTACGTAGAGTTTAGAGAACTACCCAGTTAGCAAGAGCAGGGTCGAAGGTGTCGTCTGCAGGCAACCCTGAGCTCCACCCTGAACCCCACAACCCCTCGTTTAGGGTTTCGACACACACACACACACACTCGCACGAAGCAGGCATGGCAAGGTAATGTCCCACGTTTAGGGTTTAGGGTTTAAGGGGACCTAAAGCCCCTATCAACCCCGAAACCTCCAAACCCTAAACCCCCAAGCCTCGAACCGCCAAGGCACAATGCCGAAGTTGATCTTCAACTCGCTCCAATGCACTAGCTCCTGGCACAAAGGCATCAGACCACGAGTCGGGTCTAGGGTTTGGGGCTTTAGGGTTTCAGGGTTTAGGGTTTGGGGTTTGGGGTTTAGGGTTTGAGGCTTCGGGTTTAGGCTTGGTTGCTGGTGGCGTCACTCACTCACAACTCGGCAATACAAGACGAGAACTACAGGGGAGTGGAAGGACGAACAGCTGGCCGATTTCACACCGCATCTCAAGCATCTCAGATATCTAGAGTTTGTTGGACGCCACACTAGTTCGAACCTTGGGTTTGGCATAGTCTAGGCCTCAGGGGGAGCTTCAAGAAAGAAGGGACCCCGAAGATAGACCCTGAGGAGTGGAAGAAGCGGTAGACCCAAGATAGATGGTGGAGTTTTGCTCATGCGAGTCTAGCTAGCAATTTATGGGAAAGGGTTTCCCCTAAACCCTAAAACTTTGGAGAAGCAACACAAAACCCGAAGTGTTTCTCTGGGTGCCTCGACCTGGATGCCGGACAACTCGTCCTGATGACCACCACAGGATAGAACTACGCAGGCTGAACCCGATTCAAACTATGGCTTTTGTGTCAAAGGGTATCTGGGTCTTAGGATGGTATACAATAGGGCGGCCTGTGCCGAGACTCCGTATGCCTGGCATGCCCTCAAGACACCATGTCAACCTGATCTGTGCAAGACTACAGCCGACGTCGAACAAGTTAAAGGACCATGGGCTAGGGGAAGCACAACTTGGTCTGCTTAGGGCCCTTGTCCTCATGCTATCGAGCAAAGTATCAACCGAGCCCCCAACGGCATGTACAACCAACAGTTATGTTGGGCAACTATATGGGAGATGCCTTCATGACGTCTGTGCTGCCGAGGCTCTATATGATGCGCCCTGTTACCAGTGACCGTGGACAACGGCACCGATCGAAACAGTTCAGCCGCCGATGCACCCAAGGCTGTTGCATTGCAAGCCTTGTCTTCACTCTTGCACCCCTACAGCTCTTCCGAGCCTAGGAAAACCTAAGAAAGTCCCTGTAGGACACCAAGAGCAATTTCTTGGGCGGCTCCCAGATTCGAGAGTTCGCGGTTTCTCGCTGTCGGCAATGCAAGGTTGAACCAGAAGATGAGTGCATGCACTCTCCCTCTGCTTTCGCTCAGCCCTCCAAACCTAGCAGGCAGCTCGTTGCGAACATGCCACTGCCGGTAGACAAATGCCCAGCAGCCTTGGTGCCAAAGCATTGGAGGGAGGTTTAAGGATGAGGAACAATAAGTTTACGGCTTCGAGTTTAGACAATGTAAAACCGATAACCAGCACACCCCGTTTTGCACTAGTTGCAGGATCCCGATTCTAGTCCTCCTTAAGGAACAATCTTAAGGATTTAATAACCAGATATCTACGCACAGCCCGCCCGCCTGGTATCGTGGAAAGGCGGACAAGAAGGGCTTCTCATAACTGTAAGAAAACGCTCGGATTTCTCTAGAATAGACGTTTATATACAAAAGGGCGACAAGCCCCCAGCAGCCTGGACGCGACAGCCTCAATTCAATTACTTAGGACTGACATGCTCGAACTTCAACCCGTTGTTGGGAACCCGAACCATGAAGCCGGAACCCTCATTGTAAGAATCACTGAATGATTCAAGCGCGCTCCCACTAACGAAAGGTAGTAATCTGTATAGTAACTCGTTATAAAGGCCCTTTAGTTGGCAACCCAACCTTTAAAGCCTCAGGGTAACCCTTGCTGTGTCCATTATGCTTAGCTGTTTGCAGTGACCCGTGCAAGATCCGTTCCAGTGATCCTTTTGCGTAGGTTTTACCACGGACACACACTGCCAGAGCATCCAGGGCAGGTTGCTTAAATCTTAAACCCCGAGCCAAAAGCCCTAAACACTAAGCCCTATAGACCCCTGATCCGAAACAAGCCCTAAACTAAAGATCCCGAAACCCTAAGGCCGAAAGGGGTGGCCACATGCCCCAGGCTCTGAACATTTTGGGACCCTTGCGGACTCCGTATGATGGAACCCTAAACCCATAAAGCCCCTCAGCCCCAGTGGCCACATGTCCATGCCCAGCACGGGTGGCCCCTCGAACTTTGGAGGGGTGGCCAGGCGAAGCGCGAAGCATCGTACCCGTGGACCTTGAGGATGTGAAACCAGGCCCAAAGACTTAACTGCTAAGGGCTATTACTGTATGTGCTTCTTCTACGAAGAAACAAGTCTATATTAGTCTATACCGCTTTGTGCAGCTTTTGTAGGGCCTTTACAACGGCCACACGGCTGACAACAAGATTGACATACGCGTGCTTGCAGTTTCTATCCGGGTTTCATAATGCCTAATCTAAGAACTTTTCTAGGAACTTTAATTAGAACAGGGTTTGGGGCAGTTTGGTATTCCATATAAGATTTGGAAGCCTAATGGGCTTTTCTCGGGTTTGGACGTTTAGGGCGAGAAAGGAGTTGATTTCCAACGACGCTTCGGGCTTCCATCGAGCCCCAACATTCAACAAGCTTTCTTGACCGAAGGCAAGCACAAACACACCAAGCGTTTTTGAACGTTCTGTTTCATCTACCGACGGCTCCTACCGTCCAGCAGAAAACCCGAAGCCGCAGTCTATAGGGGTTTAGGGTTTAGGGTTGCTTCAGAGGAAGGAAGTTCAAGGTCTTTCGAGATCGGGGACTTCTTTAGACAACCAGGACCCAAGGGCTTAAGCCTGCGTTGCCACCCTGTAAGGGACCGTATCATAGAGCCCTGTAGTACCCGTTGAGGGGACCCCATTACAAAACTCCAGCATACTTTTCTAGGGTGATCATTGCGTGCTCTTGTTTTGAGCTTCTTGGGTTCCGCTGGGCAGACCCACGACCACGTGCAGGGACCCTGTTACACTTCGGTACCGCGAGGCCGTAATCATGACAAGCCCTAACCCTAAACCCTATCCCTAAACCCCCTTTTTGAAACCGGACTTGATGACTGCCAGCATTGCCTCCTCTGCCGTTCTTCATCCCTAAACCCCCTAAACCTAAAACCCCCTGAACAACCCCCTAAACCCGAAATCCCCTAAACCCTAATTAATCCCAAAACACCCTAAACCCTAAACACCCTAAACCCTATACCCCCCGAAGCCTTGAACCCCAAAGCCTCAACCTTGAAGCCTGAAGCCTGAACCCGAAACCGTAGCAGCCCAAGCCTTGAATCCTGGCTTTAGGCCTTCTATAGGGGCCTTAGTAATTAGAGTAGGGTTCCTGTAAAGGGTTGCTATAAGAACTATTACAAGGGATCTCTGATAGGGTTCTATACTGAGGGCCTTCAAAATTAGAATGGGGTTTTGCGGTCCATTATACTATACATATAATAAGGAAGCCTTAGCTCTCCTAAACCCTGAACCCTCAAGCCCAAGCCTGAAACCTACACCCGGAAGCCCTGCAACCTTAAGCGTGCCCCCATCCACGGTCTTCAGGCTTAGGACTTAGGGGTTTAGGGTTTATGGGCTTGGGGGTTTAGAGTTCAGGGCTAAGGGCCTGAAACTCGAAATCGAAACCTGACCTAAACCCGAAACCTACACTTGTTGAGGCTTGATTCCGGGTCCCTCGTTCGCTTCGAGGATGCCCTGGGCAAAACTCATCTTGAGGATTTGGGGTTTAGGGGGTTTCAAGGTTTAGGAAACCTCCTCCACCCGAGCTCAAGCAAGCGGGCGGCTTTGCAAGAGCTTTGGAGCAAACTGCTCCTCGAAGTGAACGTCCGCCTGCATTAAGAGGTGGAAGATTACCAGAGCTTTGGAACTTGTGACCCTAGTGAAAGGGAAGTTAGAAACTGGACTCTCGCAACTCGGACTCCCCAGGTTGGTTCCCTTGCACCCTCTGTCGGCATGTGAGCTTAACACTGAAGCTGATCGCCATGTGAGGTCAAACGATTGCGTCCCTTTGAGAAGGATTCAGACAGGGCGGCTTTTAATTGGTGTTGCCGGCGGCCACGCAAGGGATCAACCTCATCCCGTGCAAACCCGTGCAAACGCACGCCGGCATGGACTGACAACCAAGTGTCTGCGAAAGCCTAAACAAAACCGTAAACGCACTGCATGGACTGATTCCTCTCGGTGGTTGCTGGTCCCAGCCACCCGGTGCCACCGAACCACCCTCATAGAACATGCCGTTGTAAGTAGGATATGACAAGGCAACAATGCAGCTAGCTGCGGCCATGTAGTACTACATCAGAGCAACATTGTGCTGATACTGGTAACAGCAATTACAATTACCATAGCGACGCTTCTTTAAAAAGCTGTGTCAAGCTCTAGATCTCTCCTTGTCTGTCAACGTCCTGATTTTCGCATCCCTCCCTTCTTTGGGCATCCGGCAATCAAGCGGCAATGGATATACAATCATCTCCATGGTAGTGCTCTGAGTGCCCTGGGTTTGCATATAACTTGTAGCCTTGCATTGAAACCGCCCCTACCATCAGTCCTTGATTGGCGCAGTAGGTCGGCAAATTGTTTTGCCATGGCATCTGTTCGACTGTACACGAACTGGCCGTGCTTGGCTCCACACTTCTTTTTCCAAGACTGTCTTGGGTCGATTGTACACGACCTGTAGCCTTGACGGGCTCCGCTCTCTGGAAAAGCGTTTCGCAGTTGTCGCGCCGAAAGCTGAGAGGGCTGAAGCAGGAACGGAATTGAACGCAAAAACATCTCCCCACCTGTATGAGAAGTTTCCTCTCCACATGGGAAAAGCCAACATGAGAAGCTTCTGATCTAGGCCAGGTTACATCTGCAGCAGTTGTTAGAGTACCGAAGCAGCTCGTGCGGTCAACTTCCCTCGATTAAGGAAAAACACAGCTATGGCGCACAAAAATTCGAGGGAATCATGAGAGAGGTCATTCTTGGCATGTCTCTTGAAAAGCTCCGACTTCCTCAAGCCTGGAGCATGGAGGCTGCCTCGAAGAGCTCGTGCAAAGTGAGGGGCCGTGGATGGTTTCCTTGCAAGTCTCCGTCGTTGAAGCTGATGTAGTTCAGCATGGAAACCATCCACTTCCTCATCCATGATGAATTCTTCTGCGATCTCATGTTCGAATGCTCTAGATCCAGATGGGTGCGGTCAGCGTCGCTCAGCCCATTCCCAGGTTCGCTGGCAGAGCTCAGCCTGCCGTGGTCCTTACCACAGCGTTGGTTCTGAGCAGCGGCGAGCGCGAGACCTTAGGGGTGGCTCCTCGGTCAGCTCGATAAAGGTGTTCTTGACTCGGACCACTTGCCAGACCTCTCTGTCAGGCTCTTCAGCTTCCTTGGAGCCCATGCGGCTGCTTTGCGGCGTTTGTGCCGGGCTTGTACTGGGCATCGCGGCAGGGGCCGCAGTAGTCCGGGCCGGAGGCGCTCGGGGGTCCCGCGGACCGGGGCCACGGCCACGGACGGCAAGAGAGACTTTGCGAAGCTCGTTTGGCCCATGCGCAAACTGGCAGTTCTCGCCACGCGGACATTGACCATGGCGCTTGAACTTCGTGCAAAGCTGCGTCTTTTGGAGAACTGGTGCAGCCTGCAACTCCGCGGGTGAGTGCGCAAAGGAGCAAACGCCAAGGTCTCTGCAACTTGCGCCGTATCTGCACATGCGAGTGCGGCGAAGCAGCTGGCTTGTCTGGGCAACCATCACGGGAGCAAAGTTGAGCAGAAAGGGCCGAAGAGCTTGAGCTGACGCTTCCCTTGAGCCGAAGCCGTTTCGATCCACAGCAGGGTCGAGACTCAAGACGAGATGCAGGCTAACCAAGGAACTTCCTTGCACACTCCCATTGGTTCAGTGCAGCACAATGCCGACAATGAAGCTCTTACTTTCAACAAAGGCCGTCGGAAGCGGAGAGGCGACACCCTCTGTCGGGCCAGCAGGGGTGCGGGTGGCTACAAGGCCCGAGCTCAGGCGTGGCTAGGCTCCGAAAGGGCCCCAAAGCAAAGCGGCTGAACCTATAAGCACATGACACAAAGGACCAAGCTGAAACGCATCTCATACAGCCACTCCGATGAGTGCCTCTTAGCGCAGGCACCTTCAGAAAACTCGACGCATGACTTCTTCGGCCCTCTTGCCACAGTCAGTTCAACAAACAGCGGACCGCCAGCCTTCCTGAACCTCAAGCCTTGTATAAGCGCTCACAACTCCCGCTTCCGAGGCAGGTGCGACCGCCGATCCAACACATGAAACCCTAAAAGCCTTGGTATAGGTCAGTTTCGTGATTATGCTACAGCTTATGTGTAGTTTTCGGCAATGTGCAAAACAGGGGCCCGCCTTCTGCGGTTGCTGAATCAGAAAAAGCTTCGGAACCTGCAAGCTCTAATCTGCTCAGCCCCAGTGCTTCCAGGACCAGGACAGCAACCCGCATAGTGAGGTGGCCTCGAGGGACCACAGGACGCAGGGTCTGAACATCGGAGCCGCGCAGAGCAGGAAGTCCTCGCAGCTTTCGAAGGGCACCTGGCCAGACCACCAAGCCAAAACTGAAACCCGAAACCCAGATCCCGAAAAAACTGATAAATCATCAACCGCGAGCCCAGAAACCCGAGGTGGGACGTTTTGGAAGGGCCGCTCGGTGATGGTATAAGAGCATAGGGATGCCCAAAGCTTCGAGTTCGGAATTCAGACTTTCGAGGTCGCGTGAGGGTATCATTTTGGCTCGGGATCGCAAGAACGCATTTGAAACCTCTGCAGTTTCAAGCTTCAAGGATATTCAGCTATAGGGGTTTCAGGTGCAGGGGGAAAGAGTACCTTCTGCTTTACAGGGTCATCTAGTCAGGTAGGTGAAATCAGGACTCTGAACACCGATGCTGACAGGAAACACAGCCCAAGATGACGGATTACGGGGCTGGCATCTCCATGCACCGCGACGGTTCTGAGTCGCTTTCTGGTGAACTGCAAGCACTGCGCTCCACCACCTCGCAACATAAAGGCCTACTGCCAACAAGCCAAAGTCAGTCCCGCCTGAGTCATTGAAGCAGCCTAAGAAACAACACTGCAGGCCCAAATGCCTCTAACCCATCCCGTCGACAAACATATATTGCTTGAGAACATCTTATGCGTTAAAAACTAAGCTCATGTATGACCCGAGCCCCATTTGGAGCTTCGGAAGCTCTGCCTAAACCCTTTTTTAACAAGGTCAACAGAAAGCCTAAAAGCACAAAACCCTGGGAACCAGGTGTTGCATGGGGGTATGCTACTCTGGCCTCACTGTACAGGGCCTATAAAAGGGACTCCTGTCCTTCGCTTGCAGACCCTTTTCCTGCGTTTCGGAAACGTACTCTCCTCA